TTGTGGAGTAACATTTTTTCATAAGAAACTTCTTTTCTGAATAAATGAATATTGAGCATTTGTCGAGGACGAGAAAACTATATTGACATGCTATATTGCTATATTAAGCAATTCAATATTGCCTACACTGAAACCCACAAATTTATCCAAAACAGACCTTTAAATTCCATTTTGAAGAACAAATCTTTCTTTCTCTTTTCACGCTACTCCTTCCATTTCTAATTGACCTAATCGCCAGAAAATGTACGCATACGCCAACCTTCATCTTGGGAAACGTAAAAAATAGAAGATTTATGTATGTCACAAATTTGCTTTAGAAAATGCCACATAATTCTTCACTTCTCGTCCACACTTAAAACCCATAAAATCAAGAAAGGATCTAAACCGAATCTTCTTCCCTTATTCACGGGGTCCTCATTCCACTTCCAATTGACCTAATCTCTGACAAACGTGCATACACGGCGATTTTCATCGTGTCACGACTATCAGAAACTAGAAACCACAAGAGTCTGTGTAAACGATCGAAAACTATTACACGTCTGAGAATTCGATATTGCCGAAAACCATATGAATTCGTCGGCATGTTCGATAGACCGACAAGTAATTGCATGTGTACACTTAAATCGGCCGTACAGCGGGGCTGAAGCTTCTTGCATCTTGATAGACGAGCGCATCGATCGCACGAAAGCGGAGAAGCCGGTGAGCATCGACCAACCAACCTAAATCCAGCTGACTGCGCTCGAGCACGCGAACCCTTCAGCTTTCGCCTAGGACGCGACCGCTTTCTCGTTCTGGAGCTGTGCATTATCTAAACAGAGCTCGAACATCGTCCTGTCGAAACGAATTCGCTATCTTCGGTGAAAAGCTTCGAAACAGAGGCTTTATTTGGTGATTTAGTTTCTTCTTTCTTTTCCTTTTGCAGATGTTCGTCGAGGATTCGTGAGAATCATAAGGTTCGATAAGTAATGTGATGTTGAAAATGATTAACGCTTGAGTATCGGAATGAGTTTTAGGTGCTCCCTCACACTGTTGACACTTTGAATTTTGAACGAGTCTATGAAGGGGTGTTTTAAGTAGTTGAATTTAATGGTCATTCTACACTAGGATTTTCTCACACTGTTGACTCTCTGAATTTTAAATTTATCTGTGTATGAAAGTGTTGAGTAATTGAACTTAGTGGAATGTTACATTCCAATGAAAAGATTGGAAATGATCGTTCCAATTTTGTCACTATTATGACTAACTCGAGAAATAAAATTTAACGGTTGATCGATAGGATTCTTGTGAGTAATGTGAAGTTGAAAATCATTAGAACTTAAGTGCTGGAATGAGCATTAGTGCTTCCTCACACTGTCGACTCTTCGAATTTTAAATTTCTTTGCATATAAAAATGTTAAGTAATTGAACTCAGTGGAATGCTACATTCCAATTTCGTCACCATCGTCACTAACTCCAGAAATAAAATTTAATGGTTGATCGATAGGATTCTACAAGTAACGTGAAGTTGAAAATGATTAACCCTCATGTTGAATATGTACCTACGTAGAAATTCTAAGTAACTGAACTCAGTGGAATGATACATTCCAGTGAAAAGATTAGAAGTGGTCATTCAAATTTTTTCACAAAAGATTGGAAATGGTCGTTCCAATTTTGTCACCGTTATTATCACTAACTCTGCACACAAAATTGAATCTCATTACTGTTCTGCCGCACCTTGTACGTACATTACGGCAAAAACATAAATACGTCGAATATCAGTCGGCGCAATCGTGCAACATTCTCATCGCGAAGTCAGCGTTATTAGGATCTCGGCACGAAATCGCAATAACTGTGCTAACAAACGCAAAAATGGCCCAACGTTGAGGTCGCGGCGCGCGCAATATTCAAGACTTCCGTCGCGCTGAGGTTTCAATATTCCGACGGTCTGGGCTCCGCTTTAATACGAGGAAAACTTGACGGGAACGATCGACGAGAAAAGCCCGCGAAATTAATATGGCAAAATTAATCCCCCGCGTCGATGTGTCCCCTTCCCCCCTTTCGTCGAAATAAAACATTGAGACAAGGAGAAAAGTGGCGGAGAATGGAGAACGGCTATATAGCGGCGCGCTGAACGCAAACAGAGTGAAATTGTGAACAAAAACCGAACGGTGAGCGCATGTTTATCCACGTTTATGATAAATCGCATTTCGAATTGGCACCTCTTTAAATGACCAACCGAATCCTTCCATTCGAAGCGCACGCATTGTGCTTTGCAGCTGTGTGCCTGTGTGTTTAAATTCCTCCGTGTCTCTCCATTTTACATATCGTCCAGTGATCTCCCGGTATTAATTTAACGGAGATATCGTCGTGTGTGTGAAATGAAAGGTTGAGAAAAAGAAGGGGCTTTTTTTAAACTTCGTATTGAAATAGGAGAGTTGAATTCGTGGACTTTGGTGCGATGGAATGTACATTTCCAGGTTATGAGGAAGTTTGTTGATATTCTGCATAGCAAAATGTTCCTATAAGGAATTCAGAATGATAAACTGATTTTCGTTGAGTACTGAATAACTGAATACTGGACATAAAGGACTTTATACTTTCTTATAATGTGAAACCTTTTTTTTTGGCTAGTTAATGAGATCTTAAAATATTAAAATAAAAATATTGCGAGAGTATGTAAAGTGTGGTATGTGTAAAAAATAGTTCTGG